ACCCCCGGGCGTTCCCAGCGGCTCCCAGCGCTGCAGAAAGCTCGCAGCACCCTCCACGGGGGTGGAAGTTGTGCCCATGGATGGGAACAAAAATAACAACAAACATTATTACAAAACAGAGCCCCTCGTCCTTCGTCCCTCCGCAGGCCCTGGAGGGAGCTACCGTTCTCTCTGCAGAAATAGCCTATCTCCATGCCCACCCGTCACCCCCTTGTACCCTGCCCCCGCCTGGCAGCGCTGGGCCGCCTCGGACCCCACAACTTAGCTAAAGGGCCTTTGGCAGAATGGACTATTTCTCCGCAAGAAACACTCAGGCCCGGGCTTTCTGTCTCCCTCCCAGCGCCTCTGTGTCACTTCCCCTTGGCGATAGCCCCGTCATGACTCCTGAGCTGGCCTGCCAGGGGACCCCGAGCCACCCCGTCCGTCCTGTCCAGAACAGAACCAGCCACGGAGACGCCCAACACGCCCTTGCCCGGAGCTCCTCCTCAAAATAAAAAAAAAATTATAATTTTTAAATAATTAGGGGACTCCCCTGCAAGAGACCTCGTCTCCCCTGGAACAGCCAGATGGCTCTCGGAGCGTGGGCTGAGGTGGGCTCCCTCCCTTCGCCAGAAGGCCCCCTCCCCCGCCCTAGGAAAATCAATCTTGGCTCCATTTGTGTCTGAGGTCCGCCACCCCCATTTCCCCAGAGGGCGCGGGGGTTTGTTTATTTCTTTATTTATTCCCGTGGCCCCGGCGTCCGGGACTGGTGGCTGCGCGGACCCGCGGACTGATAGGCGAAGATGGAGAGAAATTAACCTCCCGCCACTGCCCCCCAGCCGAGCGTGACAGCGCGGACCGGTTGCGTGACTCGTGACGTCTCCAAGTCCTATAGGTGCAGCGGCTGGTGAGATAGCCGGTATCGCCTGGTTGCCTCTTTATTTTATTGGGGTATGCCTGGTAATAAACAGTAATATTTAATTTGTCGAAGACCACAAACCAACCTCGAGCTGGGAGGTACATGCGACTCTTGACAGACGCTGGAAGAAGGTTTGGCCTAAAAGGAATATCTTTTGGGGGCCTTTCTTCAAACTCGTCACTGAGCCCCCCACCCCAGTGAGGTGTCACGCCTGGCTTTTGCACCGGATAGAAGAGGTGGGATTTTTGGAGGTGAGTGTCCCCCCCTGGAAAGCTCTGGGGAGGAGGGGGGGATAGGTTTCTCTCGCCTCTTCGCCTGTTTCCAGCCCCTCAAGCTTCCCGCCCCAGCTCCCAGCAGAATCCCCCCTCTCAGGTGCTAGCTCTCAGGGCCACGGGAGAGTGTAGGCTCTTGCATTTTGCCTTCGGCGTGTCACCTGGCAGGAACAGATTCCCCCTGGGACCTTCAGAACCCCAATTTCGCCCGGTGGCTCGCACCCGTTTCCGAGCCACAAACTTCCGTGAGTCTGGCCAGGCGGTGGCTTGGGGGAGTCCGGATTTTCCCTCTCCAGAGGGGCCGGCAGGTTATTTATGGGAATTTATTTTATCCGAAAATCTCGGCGAATTTAGGGGGATTGCAGAAGTCTTTCTGGATTTCCCTTTCCTTTTGCCAGAGATGCAGACTATCAGCCTCCGCCTGGGGCCATGTTTGTTTCCCTGTCCTTGGCCCGGGGGTCTCCTCCTCAGCCAGCCCCGCGTCCTGGGAGCTGACACTTCGGAAGGGCCAGGGTGTTTACACAAATAAATAAACAGGCCTCGGTGACAGGCTGAGCGCACACAAACCTGGACGGTGCAGAGGGACCAGGAAGGAGCAAGGCCGCCCTCGGAGGCTGCCCGCCGCCAGGGCTGGGCAATTCGCTCTGCCATTCTGCAGCAGCGACGTGTCAGGCCTGCCTTCCCCTCAGTCCCCGCCACGGAGGATCCCCCCAGGGGCGGCTGGTCTCCGGAACATTTCTCCTTCCTGAACCCCTCTACCCACACCCTGGCCTGCAGGTCCACGTCGTCGTTGCTTGTCAGAGTCCCAGCAAAGAACAGGGTGAGAGGGTACAGGAGAGGAGAGCCTCAGGAACCCTGACAATTACCCCAAGCTCTTGGGCTCCAATCTGGGTCGGCTCAGACTGAGATACCGACTGTGTTTACGGTTCTATTGACCTCTTCAACTCGACCCTCAAAAATAAAATATTTGGGGGGGGGCAGGGAGAGAAGCCAACGGGAGATGAAAACCCCAGCCAGCCCCCAATGACTGTTTGATTATTTTAATAAAACTGGGCATCGCCTGTGTACACAGCCAGCCAGGGAGGTCTGGTGGCCCCGGGAGTAGGGGCCAATGGTGATTTCTTGGCATCTTTGATCTCCACCCCCATCCCAGCACACCTTCACCCTGCCTTCACCCCGGAGTCGCTGAGAGTCTGGGTGATGAGTGGGGAGGGGGAGAGATGTCAGGGCGGCTAACTGCCGGCTGGGCCAGGCGGGGTCACGTAGCTCTCCCTCTGGAGGTCAGCGCTGGAAAGAGAACGCGGGTGAGGCTGCAGAGGAGGCGCCCGGCGTGTGTGTGCACGAGTCTTGTTGCCTTTAGACTCCGTTTAGACTCCGCTCTCTGCACGGCCCCCGGCGCGGAGATGACTTCCCGGGCAGAAGCCGGCTGGTTTGCGATGATTTGTGCAGGAATTTTTGCAGCCACCGAGCCGCACTCGGAGCAGCAGAGATGGATGGACGCTGGGAAAGGGGTGGAGAGGAGGGGGTGATCTCCAGGTCTGGGTTTGAGAGTCGTGTTGTGATGTGAGTGTTCGGGAAATCTAATGGAAAATGTGGTTGGGGGAGGGAGTGGGAAGGGATGGGGAGGGAGGAAGGAGGGAGGCAGAGGGGGAGAGAGAGAGAGAGAGAGAGAGAGAGAGAGAGAGAGAGAGAGAGAGAGAGAGGAGCTAGTTGGATAGGCAATTCCAGTACTTTGTAAGCACCAAGGCAGCCCAACGTCACTGAGCTCAGCTGAGGCGGCTTGTATTTCTGAGAGAGAGAGAGAGAGAGAGAGAGAGAGAGAGAGAGAGAGAGAGAGAGAGAGAGAGAGAGTATCTTACCTCGGATTCCGGAACTTTAACCCTGAAAGCGGCGCTCGGCAAGGACTTGGACCATTCCCACGGCTTCCTCGGGTCTCCCCACGTTCCCTCCCTGGGGCTTGCAAGGAGGAGCAGGCCAAGGGGCTTATCCTTTGAGCCCCCCCCGCCCCCCGCGCTGCTGTTTTTGCGTTATTCGGAGCCCTTCTGGCGCCTGACAGCTCGGGAGTCTGTAGGGAGAGCGGCGGCGGAGGTGTGTGCGGGCCGTGGCTCCGAGGCTGCAGCGCAGGGCGCCCTGGTGCCGGCAGCACAGCCCCCGGTCCCCGCTCAGCCCGGAGCACCATGCCGGCGCCGGCTTCCCTGCTAGGAGCACCGGGGACGCGGTGAATGCACCGGCTTCACCCAGTGAGGTAACCTTGCGGGCGGCTGGCCCGGGAGGGAGCCCGGGGTCCGCAGAGTCCGCATCTCTCAGCGGTTCAGCGGGGCCGGTGGCCGGGCCCGGGGAGCGGGGAGCGGGGCGGCTTCCGGGACGCGCGGCCTGGTTCTGTCAAACTGCATCTAGCTCCCTCCGCCCGCGCCGAGCTCCGGTCCCGGCGAGGGCGCGGGGGTGGGACCCTCCCCGCGGCCGGAGGTGCTGGGCGCGCACGTGGGTGACGCGGCCCCGTTATCTTTTGTTGTGAGTGGACCGCGGGGCTCCCCTCGCCGTCTCCTGGACACGCCGGGGCGCGGGGAGGGATGGTCTTGGGAGTGGGGCCTGGGCAGCCTTCCTCCGCCCGTTTCTGGGTCTCCACCGGTCGCTGCAGAGGAGGATGGGATTTGGCTTTTGGTTGGAGAAGCCGCGGAGAGTGGAGGGGCATCCCTGGCGCCTCCTTCTGCCCTCCCGGGTTTGGAGGGAGGACATTCCTACTGGAGAGATCGCAGGCGCTCAGAGCCTGGACAGGCCGGCTCCCCGGGGCTTGAACAGCTCCGAGGCCGCTGTTCTGTGCGTCCCAGTCTCCGATGCCCGCAAGCCCGGATCGCTCTGCGCGTTGCGTGGGGCCCAGGCGGCCGATTCCACGGCCGAAGACCCCGTGTCGCTGGGGCCCACGTTGCCCTCGCCAGTGCCGGGCTTGGGCCTGCGCTTCCTGAGAACCAGGCCCGGCTGAAGCTCGGAGAAGCTCCCTTCGGCCTGGCCGCCGAACAAAACGCCTGGTCCCCGGGCTGGAGAGCGGAGGAAGCCGGCGAACGCGCGCCCCGGGCGGCGGCAGAGCGTGGGCCGCCCGCACCGGGGAGCAGCGCGACTCCCTCGGAGCTTCCTGGTCCCGCTGACTTCCTTGTTCTTAAGGTTATTGAGGTGGAGGAAGAGGAGAGGCCTCTTAACTGCTCAAGGACTGGTGATTGTAAGGCCCGACACGGATGAAGGATGAACGCGACTTCTCTTTTCCTCTGCAAACCTTCCCCCTCCGGAGTTTCTGGTTTTGCAAGAGGCGGGTTGCTCGGATGTGCTGCCTGCGGCCGGGGACTGTTCGGGTTTTCAGAAACACGGCGCTGATGACCTCCTGCAATTCGACGAAGGAAAAAAAAATTCTCAGAAGGACACTCGGTTTTTGTTTTGTTTTTGGTTCCTACCCAATGGCTTCCAAAAATACCCAGGCCTTATCTTTATTGGCTCTTCCAGAAGTCCGGACAAATTTGACGGGCAGCTGGCTTATCGAGGGGAGCCTGCGCAGGGCAGATGCGGGCTTGCCTCCTCCGGGTCAGACGTGGGCCTTTGGGGAGAGGCTGTGCGTGATCATAAAGCAATAATAACGATGTCAATGAGAGGACCTTCTGCAGCCTCCTGCCACCGGGAACAGAGGCGCTGGTAGCTGGAAAGTGGGGCCCAGCAGCCCCCTTGCCACTTGTACTGCACTTCCAACCTTCTCTCTTTCTCTCTCTCTCCCTTCTCTCTTTCTCCGTCTCTGCTTCCTGTCCGCAGCGCAGGACCCCACGCGGTCACAGGGCCCCGGGCACACCATGGCCGACGCAGAAGAGGGCTTTGGCCTGGCACACACACCCCTGGAACCCGACTCCAAGGACCTACCCTGTGACCCAAAGCCGGAGAGCGCGCTGGGGGCCCCCAGCAAGTCCCCGGCGTCCCCGCAGGCTGCCTTCACCCAACAGGTAAGGAGACCCGAGCTCAGGGGCCTTCCGCAGGAACCAAAGCCCGTTTCTAAAAGGAGAGGGGCAGGGATGGGTCGCCAGCTGCCTCTAATTGTGCCCTTTCCTTTCGACCCCCACTCAGTCACACCTTCCTCTGCCCTGCCTCCCCCACTACCAGCTTATTCCAGTCCACTCCATTAGGAAGATTACCTTTATGACAGGAGGGTTTGGGTCGTCAGAAAAGCCTTGATTACCCAGCTATTTTGGGGCCAACGAACAAGAACACAGACCCTTTGCGCTAGGTGTAGGCTGGGCCCGGAGCGCCTCATTAAGGGCCAGGTCAGCGGCTGCTTCAGGCCAGCATGAGCGATGGCTTGACCCCTCTTCAGATCTTCCGCAGCCTTCGCCTCCGCCCGCCTCCCCGCGCCGCCACCCGCCTGAGCTGCCCGGAGCCAGTGGCGCACCATTTGTCTTGCGCGGGGCCTGGCTGTGCGGGGAGGGCAGGAGGGCGCAGGGGGCCCGGGACTCGGGGGCTGGCTGGGAGCTCGCCGGGTCCCAGGTAGACCTCCGTGATTTTAAACAAGCTGTCGGGGGAAGCGGGGTGGCTTCCCAGAAAAGGCACTGGACGGGGGCGAAAGCCCTGCTGGCGATGCTGACGTCCTTCCCTACGAGCTCATCGCCCCTGTGCTTTGCCCTTCACGGGTCTCAGGAAAATACGCCTGTCTGTAGAGAAGCGGCGAGAATGGGCATGCGGTTTCGGAAACCCCCTCTTTACAGAGAAGCAAATCCACTCACGTATGGATTATTGCAAAACGAGGAGTTTGTATATAGTTTTTTTTTCCCCCCGTCGCTTTTGTGAAGTAACTCTTAGTGGAAAGCGGAAATGTTAAATGGCTTAAGCTACGCTCATCATGAAAACAGCTTGCGGGAGGGAAGCTGGGCGTGCAGAGGGCCTAGGTTTATTAATACAGACGTTGGAGAATTCATCTTTGTTTTGGACGGCGGGTACCTGTGACAGTCTATAAATATTTTAAAATTTAAAATCGCCCCGTGTCTGTATCTGTGCTGCGTGGCGGTGAGGATACACACGCACCTACAGTGTCTGCGTGCTTGTAGGCGTGCCTGTGGGCTCCTGAGCCCCCGTGAGCAGAGCCTGAGTGGGTTTTTCTGAGACGGAGTGGTTTCTTTAGCTGCATCCTCAGCCCCGTCCCCCATTGGGCATTCTGGAGCACCCACGCCTGGGATTCCCCTCTGGGCCGGTGTAGTTGACATTAGATGGAGCCCCCCACCCCTGGGGATTCCTGGGGGCTGCCTGGTGCTCCCAGCCAGGGGCTGGGGACAGCTTTCAGCCTCTGAGCCCACTGGCTCCGGAGGGAAGGAGGAGAAGTGTCCGTGTTTGGGGCCAGTTTGGGGAGAGAAGCCCGTCCCCGGGCTTGTCCACTCGACTTTTCTCTCCTTCCTCCAGGGCATGGAAGGGATCAAGGTGTTTCTCCATGAAAGAGAGCTGTGGCTGAAATTCCACGAGGTGGGCACGGAGATGATCATCACCAAGGCGGGCAGGTGAGCCGTGGGGGAAACTGGGAGAGATGGAGGAAAGATGGCGGGGGAGAAAGGGAGAGAGGGAGCGAGGGAGAGTGTCTGCCTGAGCCGGGGAAAGAGGCAGGGAGAGTTCCTCCAGGGGCCTCCGTCAGCGGGGAAATACCCGGAAGGCTCCGCTGCGGAAACAGGTTATTTCCTCGCCTCTTATGTAAGGAGCAGCGAGACGGAGGCTGTGCTCAGTGGGTGGAAGAGAGGAGAAGGGAGCGAGGGCAGGGAAACCGAGGTGCAGGGAGGACTCTGAGATGAGCCCGGATTTCAGAGTGGCTCCCTGGCCTCACCCTCCTTCCCACCCGCCCTGACCTTGGAGAGGATCCAGAGTCCCCCCGCGGCCGAGTCAGAATCGCTGCATGTACGCGCTGCCTCCTTCATTGTTTACAGAACGCAGGCGCAGCCTTTGAAACTGAACCGGGGCTCGGCCGGGCTCTATATACAGACACCGATAAACACGGCCTTTCGCCCGCAGGCCCGGAGACTCGCCCCGCAGCCCCCTTTTAAAGCTCCCGGACTTTTAGGGGTTTTAGTGGGAATGCTCGCCCCGGGGGAGGGGGTGGGAGAGACGCGCGGTGTGGGATCGCCGTGGTGAGAGCGCCCGGGGGTGCCCAGGCCCGGGGACAGCCTGGCCGCGGTGCCTCCCGCCCCCGGGCTGGCCCGGGGGTCCCCGAGGGCAGAGAGCCCCGCGCCGACCCCGAACCGGGGCGTGTGAAGCCGGTGTGGCCCGGAGGCCCGAGCCGCCGGGTGTGAGAAGGGGGAGGGCGGAGCCGCCCCGCCAGACGCCCCCGGCTCTCCGGCCCGAAGCCTCCCGCAATAAACTGACAACGGTGACATTTATTATTATTCGAAATTAAACAATGTCTGCTCCCCCGCTCGGCCCCGGTGAACTCGGAGGCGCGCTCTGTTTATACCAAGAACTGAGGTTTTCTTCCCATTCCGCCGGGAAGGGAAGGAACGCCTAACCCGGCCGCTGCCTCTCGGAGCCCAGCCGGAGCCCCAGGATTTAACTATAAAAGGCCGGCTCGGCCTCCGCCGCTCTGAGCGCACTCCCGCTGCCAGATAAACACCCGGCTCCCAGCCACGGCTCCCCTTCCCGCCACCCCTGAACCACCTCGGATCCAGCCACTGAGCCCTCTCAGGCCCTCGAGCCCCGAGAAGGCTGACTTTGGGGCGCACTCTCCCCGAGGCGGGCGGAGTTTGGGAGAGGGCGCAGCGCCCACAGTTCTGGGACACAACCGCCCGATCCTCTTTCTGAAACCAAACCTGGATGGATTTTTAATTTCTTCGCCGAGGGCCCGCGAGTTTAAATTCTCCCAGGAAGAGAGTCCTGGAGAAGTTGGGGGGCGTTTAGGGATACGTTCCTGCGGGGCTTGTGTTAGGGGTCCCCCACCGAGCTCCCCTCTGGGGGCAGAGGACCGAAGCCAGACCGGGCCTGGGTGGGCACCCACCTGTGTCCAGCCCCCAGGGCACACACACTTTGGTGCCCACGTGACGTGGCGGCGCTGCCCGGATGGGCCAGAGCACCTGGCTGGGTGGAGGGGGAGACCGGCTCTTTACCTAAAAAGCCTCCTCCTGCCCCTACTTTAAAAAAAATAGGCGTCTGGCTCTGAAAAGAGCATTAAGCAGGAGTGGGAACGGGGGTCCCACGCTGGCCGCCTTCACACCCGCTCTCCAGGAGCCCTGCCTCCTGCTTTCTATTTTCTGCCCAGACTCAGTGGCCAGCCAGCCGCTTCCTCAGCCTTCCTCCTCCCCGCAACTTCCAGGGAAACCCGGGATGGATCTCGGCCAGAGCGGAGCCGGGGCCACTTTTGTCTTTCCCCCGTTTCTAAAGGGATCTTCCACTGAAATTTGTGGGCATGCTCTTCATATTAGCTTTAACTCATTTTAATCCATATCCTCTCCCCCCATCTCTTTCTCTCTCCCCCCGCCCCCTTGCTTTTTGCTTTTTCCTTCCTTCACTTTCCTTCGGGATTCTACCTCCTTCCCCTCTCAGGCGGATGTTCCCCAGTTACAAAGTGAAGGTGACTGGCCTCAATCCCAAAACGAAGTACATTCTCCTCATGGACATCGTCCCCGCTGACGACCACAGATACAAGTTTGCGGATAATAAATGGTAGGCACCCATTTATGGCGGGTTGGGAGGGTGCTCCCCGCCCCCATGGACCCAGCTGCATTGTCTGAGGTCCTACTGGGCACAGAGGCTGCTGCTGCCTTCCTATTGCATTTCCTTGACCTCACTCCAAGGGGCCAAAGGGCAGCAATCAACCCCCATTTTAGAGATGAGAAAACTGAGGCTCGGAGGAAGTCATGGGCCTATGTGTACCGCTGCACCCACGGGTTGTGGGTTGTGGATTTTTCAAAAGGGTATTGTTACCAAGCGCTGGAGGTATTTTGGGGGCATAAAACCATTTACAGTTACTTTTTATGAGTTACCCGCTTTGAACACGCCTTTTTATGAAATTGCAAAATCGGCCCATGGTATTTGAGTAAAACAGGCAAGAACGGAGAGCGAGGCCCATTCCGTGGGCAGATCTCTCTGCAGCTGCCAAAAGTGCAGAGGCCCGAAGAGGAAGCCCCCTTTGAGAGCCCTCAAGGAGTTTTCCGAGACTTTTCCGCACGCCCAGGCTCCCGGATCCCGGGATTGTTTGTGGGCAGCCAGAGGCTGCGGCTGCTGGGCCCCTGCACTGATGCGGTGGGAGAAAAAGAGCCAGGGAGGGAGACCTGAGGGTCAGGCCATTTCCAGATCGTTCTCACGCTCAGCGGCCAGGGCCTGGCGTAAACCCGCCTGCACCGCCTGCGCTGAAGCCGGTTCCTTGGTTTAGGTCGGTGACGGGCAAAGCGGAGCCCGCCATGCCGGGCCGCCTGTACGTGCACCCGGACTCGCCCGCCACGGGGGCGCATTGGATGCGGCAGCTGGTCTCCTTCCAGAAGCTCAAGCTCACCAACAACCACCTGGACCCCTTCGGGCATGTAAGTACCCGGTGCAGCCCAGCCCAGCCCAGTGCTCAGGTCCATCCTCCTCCTCCTCCTCTCTCTCTCTCTCTCTCCTCTCCATGGCTCCTAGAACCCACCCTTCTCCTTTCCTGGCTTCGTTTATTTCACCCCTTGGTCCCCCCACCCCCTTTCTGGATCTGGTCTTCCTTTCTCTTTTTCCTCTCTCATTTCTCGCACCTTCCGTGTTCTCCCGCCCCTCTGAGCGCCCATCACTCTCCCCCAGACGTTTGCCCTCTGTAGTCCTCCCTGTGATCCTCCATCCCACGCTTTGGCCCGTTTTCCCGGTGGATGGAGTTGTGGCCTGGGGCTCTCATTGCGTCCCTGCCCCCAGCCCGGCCTTTGCTGAGGAGCAGGGATCTTGCTGTGACTGAAGCTGCGCATTCCGGGCCTGGACACAGGGGCTGGGAGCTGGGCCTGCACCCAGTCCCATCTGTGAGGAGGGTGGGGGTGGGGTGGGGGTTTCAGTCCCGCAGGAAAAAACAAACCATGGTCACACTCGCCCAGTGGGCACCCAGCTCAGTGGCCAGACCACTCCTCCTCCCTACACCCCCGCCAATCCTGCCTTAGTGTTGGGATGGTCCAGCCCAGAGGGAGCCCAGACCACTTGCCTCCTCACTTACAGCCAGCAAACCCACCCCCAGCGGTGGTCGCTGCTGCCCCTGCTCCTCTTAGCATGAGGCTTCCCGGCAGACCAGTTTCTCCCCCACCCCAACTTCCAGCTTCCCTCCTCCCCAGCAATGCCCACAGCAGGCAAACCTGGACCTGGCCCTAAACCTGGAGTCCCATGGGCCCGAGAGAGGGGCCTGGCGAGCCCCTGGAACAGAGTACAGGAGACCCCACCCTCCAGGAGAAGTGCAGTGTGAGCCCCGGAGGCCGCCGCCCTGTCTTCCCCACAGAAAAACAAGTGGAGGAAAAAACACTGATTTTTAGAAAAAACGCCCCTAAACTCCTCGTTGAAAAGAATGCATCACCAGGACAGAACTCCGGCCGGCCTTGAATTCAGTGTTTGCAACCCTCAGGCTGGCGCTGCCACCATACACGTGGGCCCCTGGGTCCTGAGGCGGTTAATCCTCAGAGCAGCCGGGGAGGGCTGAGGATGGAAGTGCGCGCAGCCTGTGTGACCCGGAGCCCGGGAGGGGAAGGAATTGCCAGGGTCCTGCGGGCAGGATGTGAGGCTGGGTCTCCATCCCCAAAGTGCTCCCTGTCCCGCTAGGTTTCCTTAGACACGGGACAGGAGCGTGGTCCCAGATTGGGGGGCGGGCGGGGCCTGGGTGGCATGGATTTGAGCGGAGGGAGGCCGGTTGCTGAAGATACAAATGAGAATTTCCCATGGGCTCAGGCGGGAAGGGGCGGCAGGCCCCTCATGGATGGGCTCAAAGCCGCTCTCTGCGTGGCTGGGGGCAGATTGAACGGGGCCCCAGGGCAGGGACCAGGGAGGCTGGCCCCGCTCCGCGCGTGGTGTGGAGTGCTGGGGAGGGTGCAGAGGGGTGTTTTCACCAAACAGCGCAGTTCCCCTCGCGTGGAAAGCGGGTGCTTTGTCGCCAGCATCCATTGCACTGCTTCCCCGAGAGCAGGGCCCATTTGAGCTTGGTGGGCGTTGTACCTGAGGGTACAGAGCCCTTCATTTAGCTGGGGAGAGCGGGGTTCTTTGTGAAGGTCCCGCATGCACCTTGCATCCCCATGGAGCTGGGGCCCTAGTGTGGGGACCTGCGTGGGATCCTGGTGGCAGGAAACGGGACTTCCTCCGGCCCCAGCTGGGCTCCCAGCCTTCCGTCTGCGGCTCTGACACGCCTTAGGGTCGGGCTGGGGTGGAGGGGACCCCTAGGGAGGGCTCAGGGCCCTCCTCCACTCGGGCATCCTGGGAGTCAGGTCTCTAGGAGCCTGGGAGAGGGAGAGAGCGCTCCGCAGCTGCCGGCACTCACACCGCAAACCCGGGCTCCCAGCCCCACGCCGCGCCGCCGCCCTAATGAAATTAGGGGCCATCAGATCGCCCTCGAGCTGCGTCTCCGCGCCGCCCCGGCCGTCAAAGCAATTTGGCTAAGCCGGGCGATGGCCGCGCCGGCGGGGCTGCGCCGGGCCCGCTGCGTCTCTCTGTCGCCAGGCCGCTGGGCTGGCGTCGCTATCGGCCAGGCGGGCAGCCGGGCTGCGGAGGCCGAGATTAGAGCCCCTCGGCCCCGGACCGGGAGCCGCAGGGTCCCTCCCCCTCCTCCAGGCCGGTCTCCAGCGATGGCCCAGAGCGGGCTTCCCTGCAAATGATCAGAGACCCCCAGACCTCTACCTCCCTGCCACGGTGGCCTGCAGCCAGCGAAGAGCAGGCCCGGTTCTCAGCCCTCGCCCCGTCGCGGCGGGTGGAGATCAGGAGGTTTTGGTAAAGATCGGCGTTACCAGCCTGTGGAGCAGGCGGACTAGTTAGCGCCTTAGGAGACGCTCCTCTGGGGAACAGTCCTGCCCGGCCGCCCCCTCCCAGCCACATCCCCCAGACCCCGCTAGTCCCTGAGGGCTCCCCAAACTCCAAAGGAAGGAGACGGAAGGCGCCCCAGAAAGCCGCTGCTCTGTCTGGGGCCACGTGGAGATAATTCCAGCTGTGGACCCTGAAATGGATAGAGTCGGAGAAGGAGAACCTCAGGGCAGCCGTGTGGGACGGTGAAAGGGGAGGGGCTCCCCTATCTCCCGTCCTTAGGGTCCCCCACCCCATCTTCTTCTTTTTTCATTGACTCACACTTGGTACGTTCTCCTCAGAGCCAAGCCCGATTTTTATCCCGGTTCTGCCAACAATTCTTGTCTCTTCTCTTGCATCTTAGAGTTGTTGTTGTTGTTGTTTTTTTTTTAAAGGGGGGGCAGAGTTATTTGTATGTTTGATTGTTTATTTCTTCTCTCCTTTAATTCCAAAAATTGTCACCAGGCGTTGGAGGGTGGGGGGGACACAGTTTTTTGCTCCCGTTGGGGGCAAAAGCACCCTAGCTAGGGAGTTAATTTATTAAGCAAACTTTATTAAGAATTCTGATTTACTGCCGTGTGTGCTTTGGGTAGATTCCTGGAATATTACCCTGGCTTTTTTGGTTGGAAATTGTCATTTTTGAAATGTTTCTTTTTAATGAAATCACTGGACCCTTTTCAAAACAGGAGGGGGGAAAATCGGACTATTTTTCGAGAGCCTCTACGAGGAGGCTCATTTTGGGGGTGGAGTGCGGGGTTTTATCTGGAAACAAAGGGGTTTTCATTTTTTCTTACAATCTCATTTTTCTGTATTATTTCTAGATTATTCTAAATTCCATGCACAAATACCAGCCCAGATTACACATCGTGAAAGCGGACGAAAATAATGGATTTGGCTCAAAAAATACTGCTTTCTGTACCCATGTCTTTCCTGAGACTGCGTTTATCGCCGTGACTTCCTACCAGAATCACAAGGTAAGTCCAGTTCCCGGGGCTGAGGCTCCGTCCCAGGACCCTGCAGGGTCTCTAGCTGGAACTGCAGGCTCTGGGCGGCTCCGGTCCTCACCGCAGGCCCCAGCGCCTACTCCAGGGGCTGGGCCTGAGGCAGAGCCATGGCCTGAGGGTTGTAGCTTTTTTGTACTATCTTCATGGGTTTGGCAGACTCCTTTCTCTCCCTCTTTTCTCTCTCTCCCTCTCTCTCTCTCTCTCTCTCTCTCTCTCTCTCTCTCTCTCTCTCTCTCTCTCCTCCTCCCTCCCTCTCTCTCTCTCTCTCTCTCTCTCTCTCTCTCTCTCTCTCTCTCTCTCTCTCTCTCTCACACACACACACACACACACACTCTCAAAGAGGAGACACCCTGCTACACCCAAGACATTTTCAGGGAGAATAAAGGCCACCTCGCCCATGACTGATGCTCTTGGGTGGGGCCGGGGCCCGGCCGCCCCTCCTGGGGCCGCGTTTCTGTGGAGACCTTCTCCTGCTGCCCGCCCTCCCTCTGCCTTTTGGATGCATTTCAACTCCAATCCGGGCAGGTGGCAAGGTTGCCGGAAACCTTGGGCTTGGATTTTCCAGATGCTTCTCTAATTGGTTTCAGCGATTTCTGATCCATGCCCCTCCCACACACACACCACATGCTAAAGCGAGGTTTGCATTGTTACAAAAACAAAAACAGAAACAAAAACCGAGCAGGCTCTGCCACCAGCGCCTGGACCACCCTCCCTGGACTCAGCTAGGATCCTGCAGAACCACAGCTTGGTGAGGCGGGCAGTGGTCAGTGCATGGTTTGGGAGAAGGTGGCTGTAGCTCGGGACGGAGGTGGGATGGTGCCAGCCCCCACAGCTGTTCGAAAGCCAGAGTCTGATGTGGGCATTTCAAAGCCTGGCAGTGACATTGGAACAGAGCGCCCCGTAACCACAGGCTGGGGGAGCATAATCTCTCCTTGCCCAGTAGTCAGGGCTGTCTTGACTTGTCAGGGTTCATGTCTATCCTTTAGAAACCTGAGGGAGCGGCGATTCATTATATTGGGGAGGGGGGGGGAGGGGTAGGATTGAATGATTCCTAAGGCTTATTATGGAAAGCTCTGGAACCTGAAGGCAAGATGTGGGTTCTGGGAGGGGCCTCAGCCACTGCGCCTTGTGGACTGTTAAGAGTATTAAGCAGTGATTTGGGGTTAGAGGGCTGCTGTAGGGGAAAGTAGAGGTTCCATATGGGATCAGTGAGGGTGGGTCACGTGAACAACTAAAGGAGATGAGCCTGGGAATGGCCACGCCCCTCCCCCTCGCAGGTCCTATCCCCACCTGCGAGGTAAGGACGTTACCGGGGCTGTGGGACCAGGCGAGGGAGGCCAGCAGGGCGAGAGCATTCCGTGGAGGTCACTCAGTCCTGGTGTGAGGGGTGCCCCGGGGAAGCGGGCAGTTAGAGAATGCTGAGGGTCAGCTCCCGATGCAGAGTGTCAGTGACAGGCTGACACTCTCCAGGCCACAAGGCCGGTCTGGGAACCCAGGTCCAGAGAGAGCTTCCCTCCCGAAGACAACTCGCTCGCCCCCAAAACGCAATGACTTTTTATAAGGAAAGAGAATTTGACTGAGTTCTCCCCATCTGTTGAAATGACAAGAGCCAAAACGTTAAGACTAAATACGCTGAAAGCTGCACAACCCTTTCGGGCGAATTGGAGTCTGGCTGCTGGGGACCTGTCGCTCAGTCGCTGCTGTAAACCTGCTTAGCTTGCAGTGATAGTCACAGGGAGAAGAGTGGGAACAGCAGCAGCCAGGATGCTCCTTGCCATGTATCTATATTCTTAAAGGTGCCCAGGCCTCCCAAAGGGTCCAGAAATATATAAAAAGCCCCACTTCTCACAGAAAGGAAGGAAGGGGTGGACACAGGACAGTGACCTGCCAGAGACACGTGGCTGGGCAGACCCTCAGGGGAAATGCCTCAGCTGTGTGTAGTCACCATCACAAAGGTACATCAGGGGGATTTTCTCTGTTTACAGTTTTACTGAGGCAGGATGGTCACACAATAAACTAGAATATGGCAAGTACACATTTGATCAGTTTGACACCTGTATGTACCCAGGAAACTAGCGCCATAACTACTTGTGCCTAGACCCTCCCCCATTTCTATTTGTCTCATATGTAAAAATTAAATTTATTGGGGTAACATTGGTTACTAACATATAAGCTTTATATGTATGATGCTATAATTTGGTATCTGTGTGCCCTGTAAAATTTCTACTTAAAAGAAGTCTTCTCTAACTAATGTATTTGCTGATGTGCCTGCATGCAGGAGCTTGTCCGGTGGGGCGGGTGCGTGTGAGCGTGGAGCGAGTCTTGGAGACCGTGTGTGTAAATGCTCATGCATCTCCAGATAGGCGTTTGGGTATTTCTGAATTGGTGACCACACACAGGATTCACTTGTTTTCTTTATTGGTTGGTCCAGGGAGCCCAGCTGCGCTGCACGTTTTAGGCCTTTTCAGCCAGCCTGGCGGAGGGATTCGGTGGGAGACAGCTTCCTGTCACTCTCCCCTCGGGGAGGTCTCCCCTCTTCAGTTGTGGGGCAGGCAAGGCACCTATGTTGTCTGTCGGGAGGAAGTCCAAAGCAGCCCAGTTTTCCAGGCCAAGTCCAGGGCCGCTGCCGACGTGCCCGCGTGGATCTGTGCGGTGTGACTTCACTCAGCGGGCCAGGCGGAGTGTGATTTGCGGACTCTGTGGCTTTATTGTCCCACCTGGGCCTCGTGTGGAGGCTGCGAGTTCACGGGTAGAAGCCCCCTGAGCCTGACCACTGGCTGCATCGGGTTAAGGTGGGACTCCGGAGGCAGACGGCTGGGTCCACTTAACGTTGAGCAAGTTACTGAACTCAGCTTTCCCCACCTGTAAAATGGGGACAGCAGAAGATTTTCTTGTTCTCGTCGTGAGGATTCCACGAGAATCCAGGGAAGGGTGTGGCGCAGACGCTGGCACAGGGTGAGTGACAATTCCATTGACTGGCTCCGTCGCTGGTCAGTTATTCCCAGGGCAACTCGCTTCATCCAAAAGGCAGGCTCTGGAAAACTCTTTCCTACACTATTTTATTATTTTATTTATTTTATTTTTAAAAATATATTTTATTGATTTTTTTACAGAGAGAAGGGAGAGGGATAGAGAGCTAGAAACATCGATGAGAGAGAAACATCGACCAGCTGCCTCCCGCACACCCCCTACTGGGGATGTGCCCACAACCAAGATACATGCCCTTGACCGGAATCGAACCTGGGACCCTTAAGTATGCAGGCCGACGCTCTATCCACTGAGCCAAACCGGTTTCGGCTATGCTGACTATTTCAGAATCCAAAAGACTAAGATTTCAATAAGTTCTTATCGTGGTTGCCAAACCACAAATGGTCAGTTTTGGGGACTTCGTTCGTCCACTGATCATGTCGTCAATTCCAGGACTACCTCCAGCATTATGCTCTGATAAGTGAGCAGGGAGAGAAGAGCAATCGTGTGACCGATTTGGCAGGGCAGTTTGGGAAAACAGGAGCCACCATTTTATTTTATTTTATTTGTGGCCCAAAGGGCTCAGGTACCAGGTGGAGGCAGGTAGGTGACAGGGCCCGTTTCTCAGGCTGCAGCCACGCCCCGGGTGCCCACGGGCCGCTAACGACACGGACGTATTTCCTCAGCCCAGCTGCGATCCCGAGCTGGATTTGGGAGTTATTTCCCCAGATGGCTGACAGCTTGAGAAAGATATTTAAACAACTCGAATCTTCCCCAGCGACGCTCGCTCCGTGAAACACGTTTTTGTGAGGTTTTTGCTGGAGTTGTCAGCAGCTCCGGGAGCAATCCCTAGAAATACTTAGGTGTTAAAAAAAGGTCACATGGGCATTTCATTTCCCTGCTGCTGCAACAATGGCCGTGTATGCGCGCACGGCTGTCCCCCGATATTAACTTACGTTGCCATTAAAAGGCATTTTCCTCCTGCTTAAATCATTGTGTAAGGAGCCTGTATTTATGAGGTACGAGCTTGCTGGTCGGGACCAGGAAATGAACCCCTAATAGAGAGACATAATTAAGATTTTTGGCCCTCGTGAGAGTTTTTTCTTTTCTTTCTTTCTTTCTTTTTTTTTTAAAGCAAGAATTCACAACAATTATTCTCATTAATTTTTACAACCTCTGTCTCACTGGTTGGAGCTGGCATTTATATCTGGATTTCCCCCCGTCCTCCAGCCCTCCCCCAGATATCAGGGTCTACGTTCACTGCGGAGGGAGCATGGGAGTGAGTTTCAGGGGAGCCTTTTGGTAGAACTGGGAATCACGGTGTATCTGGTCGTGTGTTTGTGCGCCCGGGGGTGAGCTGGCTGCCAGGTAGAACACTCGAAGGCAAATTCAAGGCCAGGGTTATTGTATGGACGAAATAAAGAAGACATTGTTCTTAGGAAGTAGTGTTGACCTATGGAAAATAAGATGGACGTTCTCACCTGAGCTAAGCTGGTCTGCTAACATCCCTCAGAGGTAGTGCTCACATGCATAGAATCTATATTCAGTCTCCAAAGCAAGATATGCACAAGATCAACCCACCTTAGTGTCTGGGCACCATCTGGTGCTTGTCCCATGCAACCGCATTTTGGAAGCCGTGGTGAGAAGCACAAGGATTAGGTAGAAGTAAACTGAGGGGCAAGAAATGGGTTTGAGCAAAATACTTTGGTAAACTATCCAAATCCACCCCTTTCTTTTTCTCTCAGGTGATACTTTTGTCCCGAGCTCCCGGTAGAGAGGTGACATCACGGACTGGGCATTCATTCAGAGTTGATGCCACATCCATGTGTCCTCTGTCCCTCAGGGACTGGCTTCAGGGCCTGCAGGGGAGGGGCATAGGGAGCGGGGCAAGATCGTCAGTGATGGGATTTTTACTTAACTTTTTGAGAATCTCCCACCCCCCTCTAAAAAAGGAATTTGTGGTCTAGTGGGCTGTATTTTATTGTGACAAAACCTGAGAAGGAAAGAAAGCCCCATTGGGTGATGGGCTTTTAGACTCAAAACAGAACTGGACTCAGGAGTGCACATTTTAAAGACAGTTGGTTTTTTGTTTTGTTTGTTTGTTTGGTTTTTAAAAAAATATGTTTTTATTGAGTTCAGAGAGGAAGGGAGAGGGGGAGAGAGAAACATTAATGATGAGAGAGAATCTTTGATTGGCTGCCTCCTATACATCCCGTACTGGGGATTGAACACCCAATCTGGGCATGTGTCCTTGACGGGGAATGGAACTGTGATCTCCTGGTTCATAGGTCGACGCTCAGCCACTGAGCACACTGGCCGGGCTTAAAGACCATTGTTTAAAAGGGATTTTGTAGACTCTGAAGAGTCAAATCAAAATCAGAAAGCTGCAGGAATGGGTATAATTTTTTTTTTAAAGATGAGGCGATGTGTATGCACATAAATAAGCATACATACATATTAAAAATTTTGTAATAGATTTTTTTAGAGCAGTTTTAGGGTCTCAGGGAAGGGAGTGAAGGTACATAGATTTGCTGCATTCCTCCTGCCCGCCCCCACCCCCATGCACAGCTGGCTCACTATCAACATCCCCACCAGAGGGGACATTTGTCACAATCGGCGAACCGACACTGACACATCACCACCCCAAGTCCGGTTCCCCCTAGGGCTCACTCTCAGCGCTGTCCGTGCTGCGGGTTGGACAGCGTTCAATGACATTGCCCAGCACCACAGATCACACAGAGTCCCTGCCCAACACCCCCTGTGCTCTGCCCACTCGTCCCCGCCCCCTCTCTACCCTGGCAGCCACACTTCCTCTTACTGTTCCCATAGTTATGTCTTTTCCAAATGCCATAGGATTGGAATCATATAGCATGTTTTTAAATATTCAATTTGCATATGTTTTTATCATGAACACACGCATATACATACATATCATATAGCTCATCATAGAGCGTTGGGAGTTAGAAGCCCTTACTAAACCATCTTTTGTAGAAAACAGGACATACCAGAATGTCTGCCCCCAAATGCACTATTAGAGGGTGCCTTCATTTATCACCCCCATGAGATTCTGAGCATCTGTAACTATACTCTGGGGGTAGATTGAGATGATTTGGGGTTACGTGAATCTGATGGAGTCACGGAAAATTGTTCTCTTTTGATTATTTTCCTTCTACCATCAGGGAGACACTCTTAGTTTAGTTGGTACTCTCTTGTGATTGAAAGGTGTCTAATCTCCCCTTGTAACAAAGAGAAAGCCCGCCTTGCATTTAGAGCGTTCTGTGTGTGCCAGCAGAGAGAATGGAAAGAATTGCTTTCTTTCTGTGGAATAGCAAGTGATTCTGGTTTGACATAGACGCGATATAATATTTTGTACTAAATAAGTTGAAGTAAAAATATTAGCTTTAAGTAAAAATATTGAACAGACCAGTGTACAGGTGTGATTTAGAGATGACAACGACCGTGAAGGTCAAGCTTGAGTGACTGAACCTCGATGTCCACAGAGCGATTTGATACATATAAATTAATTCACACCCAGCTGTCAGGAAATACTTCCGGCAAATGCCCTCTCATCTGGATCTGCTACTGTTCACTCATCCTCATAGAATGTGTGTTGATGGTTGACATGGAAGTTCTGGGCCTTTGTTCTATGACTAAACTTCGTACATTCCAACAAAAGCATCCAAGAAAAGGGCTCTTTCTCCCTTACCTCAAAAATGAAAGAGGTTTGGTAATTGTTCCATAGCCATTATATGTGCTATAATTCTATCCGCTGGTGCTTATTTGATTAGACACCATTTTCCACCTGAGCTAGCAGAGTCTCCCCGGAAAACAGAAATGAACACGAGACATTGCAGGACGTGGAGCAGTAAGCGAGCCCTCCCGAGTGGAGGCTGCCAGCTGTAGGATGAGTGGCACCGTGCCAACGCGCACACCTTTTTGAAGCGGAGGTGGGTGCCGGGAGGCCCAGATGGTGTTTGGAACACAGAATGCTAAGAGTAAATCAGCAACAGCCACCAAATGGCCACAATGATGCTGAGTACGACTCGAATTAGGTAATGGGCAAACCAAATCCTGTTATTTCTGTTTAAAAGGAGTCTGATCTAAGATATTTTTCAAAGCTTCTGCCTGAATCAAGTTGTGGGTCCCGGTGAAGCCTGAGTTACTGAACCTCGATGTCCACAGAAATATATATAGCAAAATATATATAGAGCAAATTAAGCTATATATATATATATATATATATACCTTAATTTCCCTCTCTCTCTCTCTCTTTCTCTCTCTCTCTCTCTCATATATATATATATATATATATATATATATATATATATATATATATCGTTGTTGTTGTTGCCAAAGGCTGCATTTATGCAGCACCATCTGAGCTCATGTCCACGGTCGTCTCATAGCAATCACGCTCTCTCCTTTCTTCAGATCACCCAGTTAAAGATTGAGAACAATCCCTTCGCCAAAGGCTTCCGGGGCAGCGATGACATGGAACTGCACAGAATGTCAAGAATGCAAAGGTAAGAATGTGGGTTCCTGAGCTCCCTCCTGTCTGTGTGCCCCCCAAACAGCCCGTGTAAGCCACCAGCCACAAGGCGCCTCTCTCCAGCAGCCCACCACGTACAGAGGAGCGTCCTTGAGTCCTATTTACTGATCAGCCTCACATGTGGTTTCCTCCCTCAGGCAACCGGGACAGTGTGTCTGGAAGCGTGGGGGTGGGATGTTCAGAGATCTTGGCCCCCTTCCTCTGCCTAGGGAACGAAAGCTACCATTTGCTCCTCTTCCTTTGCCGTCTCTCTCCTCCTAGCGGAGTCCTCTCTCTCTGCTTCCCCATCAATCACGGCTGATGAATGATTTTCTTTCTGGCAACAGCTCTTGGTCAATGAAAGGGAAGTTAACGACTTGATTTCCTGGGGCTGAAATACAGACAAACTCGACACCACGTGGTGTCCAGGGCACCGGGGGATTGGGAGATGGTGATAAAAATCACTCCATACGTTTACATATCCTGTGGTCGCAGTCGCTGATATGATGAATAGATGGGGCTGTACAAATGTATATAGTGGGAATTTGGCCTGATTTGAAGGGATTGCCAATTTCGTCAAACACTCTCTCTACCTCTTGATATGTTTCCAAAATAAGTTACCAGATGGCAAGAGAATTAGAAATACATCTTGATCCCTTTGACCAACAAAGTGTGTTTTTTTCCCTTCCCCTTGTGGTGGGTTTCGTGTTTCAAAATAAAATGGGATCATTTAGGAAGCTTTTCCTTATCCTCTCTGGAAGACACAGAAAGGGGGAGTCAGGCAGATGGACAAACATGCTCAGTCAGAGGAAGGCAGGGAACTGGAGAGAGAGAAATGCCATAGCGATGTGGTTTGAACGCTGGGTTGCTATGGGAACTGGTCTTAGATAGCAGGCCTCCCAGATCTAATTTTGCATACTTTAAAACATAAAGGGCAAAAGGGCAAAGGGTAATGAAAGATGCAGATTTCCAGTTTTAAAAGAAATAAGTCTCGGGATGTCATGTACAACGGGGTTATTGTCAATCATATTGTGATAAGCTTTGATTATGGTTATTAGACTTAATGTGCTGGTCACTTAGTTAGGCATGTTAGTGTTGACTTTTTGAATACCTGACATTGATGTAATATTGTCTATTAAATGTATTCAGTAAACATAAAAATGTCATTATCTTCACGTGTACACATGGACACTACCCTCAGATCTACCTGGGTGCATCCTCACTATGCACGTGACCTTGGGCAAGCGGAGCCTCAGAGCCCTCAGCTGTGAATGGGGCACAAGTAAATGTGGCGCTCGCTTTCCAGGTTCTTGGAGAGTGATATGAGACTGTCTTGGGGGGACTGGTCCAGCCTCAGCTGTCATCATTGGTTTTCTTCACGGGCATCGATTAGTACGATGTTTTTTGTAGCTAAACATTTGGTATTAAGCACATCTCCATTTTGAAACTGGAGTTGGATTTAGTCTCTGGTCAGTAGAAAAGTTGACCACAAATACCACATAAAGCTGAGAGGGGTCAAACTCCCCGTGGCCTAGGCTCCGAAGTCGTTTTTATTCCGACCATGTTCAAACTCCCAGCCCCATCTGCAGGTTCTGCAGGTTCCTGATGTTCAGGCCGATTGACCACGGACAAAGGTTTGTCTCCAGCAGGGAAGGGTCCAGGTTGTGTGGTGGGGACTGGGTTTAGGGCACCCAGTTCCAGTCTGAGATCTCAGGGTTTTTCCAGCCCCCACTTCCTCCCTCTTCCCCACAAACCAAGGTGCTTTGAATCAACCCCTCAAATTTCACCAGTTCCCAGGTCCTGCTGATTCTCCCTTCTTTTTTTTTTTTTTTTTTTTTTTTTTTAAATATATTTTATTGATTTTTTACAGAGAGGAAGGGAGAGAGACAGAGTTAGAAACATCAATGAGAGACAGTCATTGACCAGTTGCCTCTTGCACGCCCCCTCCTGGGGATGTGCCCGCAACCAAGGTACATGCCCTTGACCGGAATAGAACCCAAGACCTTTCAGTCCCCAAGCCGATGCTCTATCCACTGAACCAAACCGGTTTTGGCTTTTTTTTTTTTTTTTTTTTTTTAAATATATTTTATTGATTTTGTACAGAGAGGAAGGGAGAGAGATGGAGAGTTAGAAACATCGATGAGAGAGAGTCATCGATCAGCTGCCTCTTGCACACCCCCTACCGGGGATATGCTCGCAACCAAGGTACATGCCCTTGACCGGAATCGAACCCGGGACCCTTCAGTCCCCAAGCCGACGCTCTATCCATTGAGCCAAACTGGTCTCGGCTGATTCTACCTTCTTAACATAGCTCAGAATTCTCCTCCCTTTCTCTGTCCAGCCTGTCTATTCTAACCACCACCGCCCCTGCCGGTGCAAGCCTCCTCATTTATTTAGACCTGCTTTCCGCTCTGTTCGCCTCCCAGACATTCTCTGTAGCCGCTGAAGACATCTGTGCAAAGCCAAAGTCAGACTAGGTTACTTCACACCTACCACATCTGGCCTCCCATTGTTTTCAGTGTGACGCCCAGACTGCCTCACGCGATTGACAAGTCCTATGGCCTGGCTACTCCCCTTGCTCTGCCTCTCTGCTTCAGCCTCGTTCCAAACCCACTTCTTTTGGCGACGTTTGTCTCTCTGAACAATACGTTTGGTCTGCCTCAGACTTGTCCCTGCCCGTCACTATTGCCACCTTGTGGCTTTCCCTTCCTCCAAGAATAAGGTGACCAGACGTCCCGCTTTTGGTGGGACAGTCCCAGTTCTTAACAATTTATCCCATGTCCCGCGGTGTTTTAAAAAAGTCCTGAAAACCTTATCTAAGAAGCTTCCCCTGGCTGCAGGCTGCGTACTCCCATCTGCCCCCAGGACCCCTCACTGCTTTCCCGGGTCAGGCCCGGCCCCTGCACGTGCAGAGATGATTGGCAGGTGGTAACGGTGGAAGGAGAGGCAGGTGGGAGGTGCAGGAGTTTGAGCTCAGATGTCAGTGATCCTGGGGACTCTCCCTGAAGTTCCAGCCACGCGGGAAGAGATTTAGGCAGCTGACTCTCCTTTGGTCTGAACGGGCTGTCCTAACCAGCCCCTGGCTGCGATGGGTTAGGGAGGGTCTGTGTAGGTGACTTTCCTGGTAGGCACTGCAGATGGGGGGCAGGAAGGGGTGGCTGGTAATGGACAAACCTCTCAGCGAGAGAGCCATGCGGGTCTCTGTGTCTGTGTGAGGAGCTGTGCTGGGAACAAGAGGGCTCAGTAGTGACCAGGTGCCCTGTTTTCCCTGGAAAGGACAGGGGACTAAGCAGCGTGGCTCCAATAGGAGGCTTTAGATTTAGACAAACCTGGGTGCATCCTCACTATGCACGTGACCTTGGGCAAGCGGAGCCTCAGAGCCCTCAGCTGTGAATGGGGCACAAGTAAATGTGGCGCTCGCTTTCCAGGTTCTTGGAGAGTGATATGAGACTGTCTTGGGGGGACTGGTCCAGCCTCAGTAAATGTGTCTGACCTGGAGACTCCCCATTGCTCCCAGTTCGCCCTTGCTCAGAGTTTATTCTGAGCTGTGGCCCCTACTCCCAGGTGGCAGCAGGTAGTGACGAGTGTCCCAGGAAGGTGACTGTCCGGAGGCGGCTGCGTGAACAGCCAGGCGGCACAGGCAGGCTCCCTGTTAATCTTCTAATCCTGTTTCCTGTTCCCCGCACACCCCGTGACAGCTGCGGGGAGAAAAGCAGGAGGGGCGAGATTTCCTCCAAGTTCAACAATCGGAAGGAGGGCTGAGCGTGAACTTGAAGTCAGCCCACAGAAGTCATTCTTGGATTAGCTTGTCCAGCGCCTGGGCACTCACCCCACTACCTCTCTTCACCTAACTCCGTGTTTGGGAGAACACAGACGGCGCCTCAGTGACCTTCCAACGTCCATTTATAGTTTCTAGTTACAGAAGCAGCAAGCGCTTCTTATAAAAATGGGAGAGCACGAAGAAGAAAGGAAAATCACTTAAAATATGCGCCAAGGTTATTCTGAAAGGTCCGTCTGTGGCTTACAAAGCATCTAATCCTGAAATCCAGTATCTCCCAAATTGCAGTGCCCCTCCCTGGTGACAAAGGACGTGACCGGAGAGGATCCACAGAAGACAGGAGTGTCAGCCTGACCGCATAGACATTGCTTAGAGCGAGAGGAAGGCAGGCGGGAAGGAGAAGAGGAATTAAGGTTGATTATTTAAGGAAAAATATTAACTAAAAAGCAGTAGGGCTGATTGGGTGAACGATGTCCAGATGGTATGAAAATGGCAGAAATTTGGGGAAATGCACCTAAATGCTCATCTACTGAGAAAGGTGTGGGAGCTTCGCGCTGTTTGGAATGGTCTAGAGCAGTGGTCGGCAAATCGCGGCTGGCGAGCCACATGCGGCTCTTTGGCCCCTTGAGTGTGGCGTTGGAACCACTTCTTCAAATAGACTCGCCCAGGCTGAAAACCGATTTCTGGGCATGGGCCATGAGGTTTCAATCGCACTGTACGTGCATGCCTGCACGTGGTATTTTGTGGAAGAGCCACACTCAAGGGGCCAAAGAGCCACATGTGCCTCGAGAGCCACGGTTTGCTGACCACTGGTCTAGACTCTGAGTGTTCATAGGACATGGCTTTCTTCCAACTGTGCTGCCCTCGAAGATGTGCTCAGACAATTGCTGAGGAGCCCAAGATGCCGGGACCAGTGGGGTAGGGGTGGGGGAGACGGGCGCGGACAGATATCTTTAAGGAGAGATGGGAGGCCTTGTAGGGAGAAGGGGATTGGAATCCATTGGGGAGAAGGGCTGTTTGGTTTGAGCAGAGAAGTGTCCCCGAACTAGAGAGCCGTTAGGAACACCTGGAGCCCCTGGTGCCCCGGCTAGACCGGTCCAGGAACATCCCTACACACCTGCATTGAAATGGACCATTCTCCCAGCCTCCGAGATGCTCACGCTCACCCCCTCCATCTTCTCCCTCTAGGGTGTGGCATAAGCGGGGTCTCAGACCCC